GGAGGGAAAACGGGAGCAGGAGGAGGTATCCGGGTTGCAGTGGCGGGTGGGCACGTGTGCTCGGCACGGCTGGTGGCAGGTAAGGAGACCCCGGGAGCAGGGAGTGTGTGCTGCGTGAGCGGCTTCAGGAAAGTCTAGTTTTAAAGTTTAAAACAGGCCTGACTTATCAGTCTTCTCAACACTCCTCTTACAGCACTCTCTGATTCCTTGGCTGATACGTATGTATGTATATCCAGCTGCAATAACATATTATATTATGTGTTCTAACATAGAGATGCTTTGTAGCCAGCTGTTCCTACATGCCTTGCTCCTTCTGTGCCTCACACTGCTGGCACGCAGCTGCTGTGCTTCGTTTCCCTGCTAAGAGGGCATTTCACATAGGTAGGACTCTGAGGTAGGACTTCGGCCTGGCTCAGTGTATGAATTCCACCTATGGACACCTAGCAGGAAACCTGCAAAAAGCTTTGCTAAATGTAACCAAGATCTGGAGGATTCAGAACATCTTAGTCAGGTATAAATAGAACTCTAAGTGAGGCATTCCAGATCTTGAGATGTTTATGTTTTTCAGAAGTGCTGCATATATTTATATGAGCTCTTACAGACCGTACTCTGTCAGTAGTGACTGGCTCTTTTTTTTCTATTTATAGCTTTTCCTCAGAGTTAGAGTTCTCTTTGGAAAATTTTTTAGTGTAGACTGTCAAATTCTACAACCTTTCTGTTATGGCCTAAATTTTGTCCTTTGTGAAGAAAAAATTGCATGGAGGGCATTGAGTGTCTAGCTGGGAGTTTGGGGAAAAAATATGCAAAGAGTATTTTGTTAGTTTTGGTAGATCTTTACCATCTTGTCTGGAGGGAAGACTGTCTTCAAGGCTTGGATTTCTCTGGCTCTTACTGTGGTGAAGTCTCACAGTGAAGTGAGGAATAGAGAGTTGCCCAGCCAAGCACAGATCAGGGGGGAAAAACAAAAAAAAAAAGTAGCTTGACCAAGCTTTAAAACACGATTCTATTTTTCAGCCACAGAAACTCATCTCTCAGTCTCTCACCAATTCTCATCAAACTCAGGGATTAAGTGCTTCGTATTATATCAAGCAAACAATCCTGTCCTTAAGGTAAGTCTGCCTCAGAGTGATTTTCCTGCTAGTTGGCAAAGCGTTGCAGATTAATGAAGCTGTGGTGTACTCGATACCTCCAGCAACCTCAAGGAGGGAGTTCAGGCCTATGGGAAGATGATTGCTTTCCTAAGAGATTGGGGAACAAGAGAGAGGAATGGAGACAGCCTAATGGGAACTTTAGGAAAGAGAACAGTTTTTGCTGAATGGGGACTTCAAGATCGGCTTACCGAGTTGATTCAGGTGCATTTTTTCAAAAGTACCAGATCTGCTTTCTCCAAGTGTCTGGGAACAAGAAGAATCAGAGAGCAGATATACTAACACACTACAAAACTGAGACATTATCCTGGAGGGGATAATTAGCCCTTCTTAAGTGTTGAAAGGTCTGTTGTGGTCTTACATCTTCTGGCTGGTAGAAGATACGGTTCCTTCAACGAGAGGATCTCTGCAGATTTGAAAATATTAGGTAGTCTGCAAAATTATTCAGAAGTCCAGACAAATAGCGTGAAGGGAGACTTGGTGTCTTCTGTTTTTCTGTCATACCCCACAAGTGGCCCTTTAGAAAGAGTTATCTGAGGAACAATATCAGTGTTTCCAGACTAAGAAATCTGTGTTCAGCCTGAAACCTGAAGAAGATGACAGTTTTCTCCGTGGCATGGCAAACCCTCTCCCTTGCCTGTGAAAGACCCACGTTTTCATGCTTTCAGTGACCGATGTTTGCACAGCAAGCTGCCAGGGAGCAGGAACAGGTTCCTATGGAGCAGGAACAGGTTCCTATGGAGCCACTGGGTGAGAAGCGGCTCCTGGAGGGTGAAAACTGCCCTCTGTACCTCACTCAGCAGCCCCAAAGCCTCTCCTCCTCCCAGAGAGGGGCCCTGGGAGTCTCCTCAGTCACACTGCTCCTAGCAGGGGTCAGAGGAGCAGAGCGAGGATCCTCTGCCCTGCTGCCTTGCCCTGAGAGGCCTGACATCCACTTGCCTCTGGGCTGTCCCCAGTCACCCACATCCCCATGCACCCGTGTCCCCACGCTGGGCTGGGCCTCCTCTCCTTTCCCAGCTCCGAGCAGTGGGCTGTGAGCCCTGCTTTTGGCTCTCACTTAGGTGCAGACGTGACTCCTATCCCAATGAGTATTTCATTTGCAGGTTTTTTTTTTTTAATGTCCTCCAGCACAAATTTTATGATCATTTCAAAAGGCATTTTAGCGAAACATTTGCATATTAGAAAACACTGATTTCTATTTACTTTTAAACAGCATATTTCAAATGTATTTAAAATGTGCTATAAGAATCAAATTATTATGAAGATGAGTTGTGTATGTGTATTTAACCATCTAGAATAGATGAATGATAAATGAAGAATGATAAAATTACGTAGAAAGTTCCTCCTTGTTAAGGTCAAAATGATTTTAAAACTTTAGCACTTTTTGCATCTCTGTTCTGCCAGTGCATCTGTACGTGTTTCCCTCCACTGCAGGAAACGCATGTATCTGCCTTAAAATAGCTCTTGCAGCTTAATAAACTCTACTAGGCATGCCTACCTTTTAGAAATTGAGAGCGCATAACCTGCTGCATTTTAAAATCCAACTTGCAGTTGATAATAGGAGTCTGTAGCTAATGTAGGTGACAGTATATCCTGTCTGACAGTTTTTATTTATGTTCCAAAGTTTAGATTATAAGAACTACCATGCTGGCTAAGACCAAAGGTCCACTATCTCAGTTCCTTGACTATGACAGTTTGGTATTAATAGATTTCCAGCTGTCAAGGCTAAATTTTCATTTTATAAAGTAAAAATATATTGGTAGAATTCCATAGGGAATTGCTCTTAGAAACACACTAAATATTGTATGAGTTGTCAAGAGTGTATATGTCTTTTTTTTTTGGCATGCAAATACAAAGTGGTGCATATTTAACAGCTTATAAACTGTGCAGCATAAATTGCAGAAATTCACATGATTGCCTACTGTATGCCCGGATTACATCTGAAGAAACCAGATATTCTAGATAGATTCTCATGATCTTTGTTTCAGAACTCATTATATGTGATATATGAGGGAATTCTTGTTTCTTTTTGATTTTGTAAGTATATGGTCACATGTAATTGTTTTTATTTTAATTCCTTTTCTTGCAAACAGTTCACATGACACTTCTTGATGTGCATGTTTTGTTGGCCTTGCCAGTCCATCTATACTCTTCATGCTGCTGCTGACTCTCAAATGCAAGAAGAGATTTGATCAGTTTTCAGTAAGTATTAAATACTTAGGCTCAGCAATTTTTGCACAGATTGGATGTGGGGAAAAAAGTAGCTACCTATTGGACATGGCCTGTGGTACTAGAACCAGCTGTCTGCAGTGCTGTTGCTTTATCTAGAGTGCTGCTGAGCAAGAACACAGGTAGGGTTAGCTCTGAAATGTGGAGGAGACTGGCACAAACTGGAAATCCTGTGAATCAGTAAGAGACTGCCATTAATATATGGAAAGAGTAGGGTCCATGGAGAAGCAGCTCCAGCATTTCAGAAAATTCTGCTGCCAGGAGGCTGGGGGTCTCCATGAGGCTTGTAGACAACTGGAGTTATAAGCTGAAGGCAGAGAGACATATGAAGGAGCAGACCATGGGCATGCATATCCTGTAATAGTTCTTGTGTATATTGATGGAAGAGCTGGATCTGGAAAGATACCTGCACCCAGATGACTCCTCTGGAAGAAGGTTTCCATCTAGCACCAGCCAGAGGCTATAATACTAGGGCTGCAGAGTGGATGTATTTATACCTAAGGGAGGAAGGAGATTATAGATATGTTAGGCCTTTGTGACACTTTCTTGCCACGATAAGAATTTCTCTATAGTAGGGCTTTAAAAAGTTTTGCCATCTTAATTTTACACAAAGTGCAGTCACCCGCAGTTTTTCATCTGGACAGCTCAGAGCTTTAGGGAGTGGAAATCCCATAAAGGACTCTGTAAAGGGGTGATGATGATGAGCCATGAAGGGATCAGGATCCCATGGGATCCTGATGTACCGTTGTACAAAGTGAGGTAAGATAGGTTTAATACCTAAAAGAGAAGCTCTTTCCTCTTACTTGCCAGATGGGAACTGAAGGCCGATGGGAACTGAAGGCCTGAGTATGCCATGAGTTATGCTGAAATATGGAAAAACTCTCACACAATAAAAGAGAGAGACTCAAGCATATGAGTTGCCATAAGGTAGCAAGCTAGCTAATTCAAATCTAGCAAATGTACTTTGATGTAAACTTAAATGTGATTAATTCTACTTCTTGCACTGAAGAACCATAAGGTTCAGGATAAAAATAAACAATTATTTTTCCCCTTAAAATTTCTGTGGAAAACAAGAGGTTATTTTTGCTAATTTTGAGTATTAATGCTAAAACTATCCTCACCAAATTGAAATTTCTGTTAAAGGATACTTGCACAGAAACTTGTGACCATTCCTGTTTAAAAATTTAAGACACAACTAAGACTCTTAGCTTCTGCAGTAAGGAAATAGATAATTAATGCATCATCATGTATGCATTTATTTTTGTCATGATTGTACTCTTTGTGAACATTCATGCATTTAACCTCAATGTCTCCCTAAAAAGTAAAAAAATACAGAGATAACAGTACTCCATCGTACAGGTGAAAGCTGAAAGCACAAAAAGACTAAGGACATTTTCAAAAGCAAAAGTAACTTTCACTGGGACTTAGAAGTATTTGGAAATACAATCTCAAAGTGATTCATCCAAGAGTGCACATGGAGGGAAGTGACAGGCATGACAAACAGGAGTGGGAAGTACTGGCTTAGAAACTGTTCTTAGTCTCTCCAAAACTATATAACATTACTCACATCAGGTCTGGTAGCCAGCACCAAAATTGTAAATGCACTGGTCTCTAAAATTGAATTCAAATTTGACTCAGGAACCTGAGAAGGTATATGTATTCCAGTGTAGATTCAGTTGAGGAAATGCTACTCAGGATAAAGCAGTGCATATTCCTTGTGCTGGGATGGAAGAATGCTCTTCCCATGTGGCAATTTACAGTCCGTTATCCCAACTCCATAGGCAAATGTTTGTGCCTGCATCAGGTTGGTGTAAGAGAGTATTAGACCACTGGTGCTCCTTCTGCAGCACTACAGCGCATGAGTGAGATGCACCACCTAGGGTGAGATGCATGCTCGTTTCTCATCCGACTTCCTAGTGTTTCCAAAGCCTTTTCTCTACCTGATGTGTTTGGTTTATTATCAGGTTACAGAGTGTTTGAAGGCTGAAGAAGTGAACTGTGTGAAGATGGCTACTCCCATGAAATTAAAGGAGCCTTCCAGCTCTCCACTTAATCAGCCGCAGCCTAATTTTGAACAGCCATCCAAGGAAGAGGCAGGAGGAAGCAAACAACCAGAACTCAAATACAAGCTGCTCTCTGTTACTAAAGAAGATCATCAGTTCCTTCAAGAGATGAGTAAGAAGCTATAAGAGATGGGAGCACAGAGAATTGTGTATAAGAGAACAGGGAGAAAATTGCTAAGGACTGTTGAGAAAGCAGGAAATGCTTCAGTACAGGACTTAGCAATAATATAGCCTGATCAGTGGGCTTATCTGGCACTCCCAGGTCTGGCTGGTTTTAATAATTTAGTTTAGGAGTCCATACCACCATCATATCTGGCACCTCACTAAAGAGAAATATGAAAACAGAAACTATAGAATCAGATTTCCCTCTTGGTCTTCAAAGTGAGATGCTTTTGATTTAAATGAGAGGGATAAAGGAGGGAAGCTTGCATTAATGGTGTGCATTTGGGTACATAAGGAAAACAGTGTTTTTTACCCATTTATGCTTGTCCTAAAGTGTTATCAAGTGAGATTTTCAGGATTTTTCAAGGGATATACCAGATGGTTGTAACTCACAGATTTTTAAAGAGCAGAAAGTATTAAGCCATCTGGCTTACTACTTACGTAAGGCATCTAAGTATAGGTGTAACTTAGTTATTCTTGCATTGAATTTATAACTGTTAGTTGAACCAAAACATATTTATTCGATGCAAGAGGTCAAATTAACATTCATAATGTTCTCTTGTGACTTAAAAACTTGGTGAGGATTCCTGTTCTTTCTTTGATAATGGTATCAAAGATACTTGTAGATAGTAGTAGAAAATAGTACTGATGATGTAGAAAATATCAAGCACAGTGGATTTCTACCCCTTTTGTAGTACCAAGCACAATGGAAGTTCTGATCTTAGTGTTGAGCAGCTTGGATTCGGTTCAGATTATGATACATGTGAGCGTGTTTAAATTGCTACTTCAGGAGGGACGGTTAAGCAAATCAGCAGTTGGTTCCTCCCCAAAACCTCTACTGGGTCTTTCTGTTTCTCCTGCGCTTGTTTCCCTGTACTCAGAATAATACTCAGGGTTCTATTCCTCAGAACCATTTCTTTCACAGGAACTGTAAAATATATATTGTTATTCTTGAGGTGGCAAAACTTAATTTTTATTACACTATTGAGTGTCTTAATAGTGTAGCTCTGATTAGAATTCTTAGCTTCAAGGTACAGGTACTAAAGAATTAAGTCTGTTATTTACTAATAGTAGCAAATTGCTTTTTTTTCTATGCAGAGGTTGATAGACTTGAGGAAGAAACAGAGAATCATGAACAGACAGAAGTGCACAAGGTGTCATCAGGAGGTCAGAAAGAAAGCATCTTCCAAAATGGTGACCTGACTTGTCAGAAGGGTGAAATGTCTCAAAATATCAATTTAAAAACACCCTTTGAGGACAAACAGACAGAGGTCTCCAGGAAGAGATGCTGTAATGTGAGAGACTTCCAAGACGTTGCAGTCTCAGAGAGAACTTCATCAGAGCAGAGTCCTTATCAATGCACCGTGTGCGGGAAGAGCTTTAGCCGCAGCTCAAATCTTCTCCAGCACCAGCGCATCCATACAGCAAAGAAGCCTTACAAGTGCATAGAGTGCGGAAAGAGTTTCAGCCGCAACTCCGCTCTGACTCAGCACCAGGAGGTGCACCGCGGTGAGCGCACATTTGAGTGTGCAGACTGTGGTGATCATTTTACACGCAGCTCCAGCCTCACTCTCCATCAGAAAACTCACCTGGGGGAGAAACCTCATGTGTGCAAACAATGTGGAAAGCGCTTCCGCAGTGTTCCTGAGCTGGCGTCTCATCAGGAATTGCATACATGACCTCAGTGTGGTCCCTTGGGCCGCTGCAAACTAGAACCACAGCCATAAGGAAGAAGCAGTCCCTCTGTAGGACATGTAGCCTCTCTAAAAGTTTTTGTTCATCTGGTCTACCTAAAAGGTAGGTGCAGGTCACACCTAAGTGCCCCAAAGCAAAGAAAGAGGCAGCCCCTAATCCAAAGAGCCTGATTGAATGACTAGGTCAACTAGTTGCTTAGAGATTCCAGTGGCTGAGGAATGAATCCCCTTTCTTCTAACACATAAGCCTCTGTTGGGATGGAAATAGGAGTTGATGTTTATTAAAACACAGTATTTCAGAGAGAAATAAGATAGGTTACTGGCTGAGGTGACAGCTAAGAATTTGAATGATACTGTTTCAGTTGAGAATTCAGCTACAGGATGCCCTTGTGCTACTTAGTTTTGTCTCCCTATGTCTTTATGGCTTATAGGTTTAAAAAAAAAATCTGACTTCACTTTCTTAGTGTATTTGAGCGTGGACTAATACGTGCCCGGATACCACAGTAAATGGAGACGGATAAGTTTAGTAGTTTCGTGAACAATTTGTTTTGAAAGCTTAACTGTCTCTGTCCTTAGCTTCTAGAGGAAAGATTTTCAGAAAGCTCTTTCACCTTTTAATAGTATCTGGGTTCTTAACTTCCAAAGGTACTTCTGAATATTAGCATTTCTGTAACCATCCAGGATTTCCGAAGGGATCATTGCTAGACCAAATATCAAAATGAGCCATACTTTCCTGATCAGTGCTAATAGCTCTCTGAAAGTCCTTGGCGTCTGTGGAAAGATTAGTTCCTTCTAGTGGTTCCACTAGAAATCTTTGATTCCCATCTTACGTCAATAATCTCTAGCTGGAGAATTGGACCTAAATCTCAAGAGGTGAGACCAGTGTCTCTGGCAAGCATTAGAAATAGTCAGACTGCAGCTATGAAGAGGAATTTTATTTTATTGTACAACTGCACAATTAATGGAAAACTGGGCAGCTATTGAGAACTGAGGTGGTTCAGTCCCATCCTCCTCATCCCCTTTTGATTTTCACGAAGTCAGCAGTGTCTCCCCTGAAATTACACTACATTTCATGGGCTCACAAAGATCAGGTTGTTGATGTACATGATAATTCCTGCCCTAAAGAAATTTCACTTCTTTCCATTGAGATGAAAGCATGAATAGAGAGACTGGGTACCAAAGCAAACCGGAGAAGTAGCTGTCTTTACAGCCTGTGTTCTTGTGAGATGTCCTTGCTTTAGAGCCATGCTGGCTTTTCATGGATACAATTGGCAGTATTCATGCCAGATTATTTTTGTGTATTAATAAATGTAAACAGTCTTGAAGGTCTTTGTTGTACTTATTTTTACCTCCTTTCACAGAAGCAAGTTGTTTATTTGATATATTTCTGTACAAATTAATTCAGTGTTCAAAGAACAAAGGTTATCTTGACTTCAGAGCTGTGTTTTTTCGCAAATCAAAGCAGCACTGAAGATGGGGGGAAAAAGGAGGATTTTACTCAGCCTGCAGGAATCCACTCATGCCTGAGGTAGTAGTTAATGGCTAATCTCTTATCTACTCTAATCTCAGCAGGCCGACCTGCCCTTTGAGATGAGTCAACAGTTTTTAAAGGAAGTTAAGTTTAAAAGAAGTATCTGAACTCACATTCTCACCAATGTGATGTTTTTGGTTTGGAGAGCGCTGGTGCCTTCCTACGTGGGGAACAGTCATAGGCATGGATTTTGTGCCTGTGGTCTGTAGCGATATGCAGATACATTTTGGGATGTCTCGCAACTTGAACAGGTGTTTTCTAAGCGTGAGTGCCTAGCAAAAGTTTGGTTACAAACAGAACAGTTATCTGAATGTGCTGTCACGAAGGAACCCCACAGCCTGGACAAGCAAAGGCTTGTCCAGCCTGAGTGGTCACTCAGATTTTCAGAAAGAAAAGCACCACAGAAATTGTCCTTTCTATCATCCAAATAATTTTCTAGATATTTTTTTTTCTTATAGTGTGCTATCAGTAGCTGGGATAAGAGCAGAAAGTGGTTCACTCCTCTTAAGAGAAGGCTCTTAAATCTTGCAGGTAAACATTGAGGAAGAGATAAATTAATCTCAGAATGAAAACTAAGGATGATGTTATTAATAGTGGAACTACTACTGTTTTCTGAGGTTAAGAATGGTTTTCTATTATGTTTTTGTACTGCCTGCATAGTGCAACCGTGCTTTAGGATGGACTCTGTTAGGGCTTCTATATTAAGATTGCAGAACAGAGGTTTAAAATGTGAGTGGTGGTGGAGTTCTGGATAGTTCTGAATGGTGTCAGGGTAAAGGGACACTTGTCTAGCAATATCTCCCTCACCTGCGGTGCCAAGCAGAGGTGCCCTAATGGTAAAGGTGACACATTATCACACCCAGCCCTTTCCACCAAAATGTCCATCTCTGAACTTCTAAATCCTTCTGACTAGGAACCCTTCCAGTGTTGGGGATCCTACCTCTGCTCCTAACACTTTTTCCTTTTAAACCTTTGACTGACTTTAGATGTTACAAAATGCACCTATGGTCACAATATCTCTCGGGATAGAGAATTAGTAAAACTACAGAAAAGGTAATGATTCTGAATTTCACCAGATTTAAATGGTGTTCTGTGCCTAAGGCTTAAGCATCTAAAACGCAAGGGCAAACTGAGTAGTCACTAAGTCAGTTCAGCAAACATCAGCTTTTTATTCTGTAGAAAGTGTTTCTGATATTTTCAAATGTTGTAGTATGCAGTTCATCAACATTTTGTAAGTATATTTTTATTTGAATTCCTTTTTTTTAAGTATACATGAAAAGTCCATTTCATGGGGGTGTATTGGCTATAGCAGGTTTGAGATCCTGGTATTCAATGCATACTTTTGACATTTAACACATGAAAGGAATGTGTTTGGCGCCCTTTCTAAATTAGCCTATGAAAGGAGATGTTTCTGCAAACACAGGCACTCCCAGGTTTTTATCTGATTTGGAGCAGAAACACCCTTTTACCTTTGTCTCCTTAATTCTTTCCCTTCTCCGCTGACAATCTCTCTCACATTCCACATCCCAGCTCTTTCATTCATTGCCCTCATTTCTATTGCCATTTCCTGTGGCCCAGTTGTGACCCAGTGAGATGGCATCCACATTTTTCTTTCTCCTCCTTAAGTAAAACAAGCAAAGACCTGAAAACAGAGGCAAGAAAATCACCTATTCTCTTGAGTTTTACCCAGATCACTAAAGGATGAACGGCAGAGTAAATGTCACTGCAGTTCCACAGTTCTGGACTGAAACATTCTCAGTGTAGATGAGCTATACATTAATTTAGGCCCTAAACTCCTAACATGTTTCTCGATCCAAGTATATTTTCTCCCTAAATCAGTTTGATAGGTGGCTGAAACATTCCAAAATTCAGCCTGTGATAGGCAAACCAAAAACAAAAAAAATTTTTTTCTCAGCCTTTGGGAAAACCTTTATCACCTGAAAACAACATTTTACATAAGAAAGTGTTAGATAACCTTAAGCACGAAAGAGATGCTCTCCGGTCTGCCTTTAACAAAGTAAACTGTAACCAAAGTGAAAGTTAGTATTTAATACAGGGGGGAAAAAAGCCCCCACATATGTAAAAAGGACTTGGATCTTCTAAGTAGCTCTTCCAGGGTTGAAAAAGATTTTCCTGTCCTTTTTACTTTCAAAGTATTTTGTCTGATTACTTCCTTTTTTGCTACTTTAATTTATAGCTACCACTTCCATATGTGTACGTTTTTGTTTTTCCAAATGCTACTTATTAAATTAGCTTATTCCAGAAAAAGAATCCATAAGGTAGTCTTACTCAATCAGCCTGATTTTTTGAATTACTTCCTCACCTATGACAATGCAGTTATCACTTTTGATTATTGTTGGATAAATAAATGACAAATGTGTTTAATAAACTAAGTAGCTTCAGCTTATATTGCCTTTTGTTATACAAGCTTAACTTACATTAACATTAATAAAGTTTTTCCTTCTGGTATTGAAGAAAGAAATTTCCGTTTTTATTCGTATATTATAGACAAGATGCTAAGATGATATGATGCTTTTAGATTGTTAAGGGAGATTTTGCTATCAGCATATTTTTAGATTTTGAAATTAAACATGTACTGACATAAGCACTCAGGTGCTAGAACTGAACGTCTCAGTAAAATCTGTTTACTAGAATAGTCTTTTTGTTTGGTGACATTGTTGGAGAGAAGCGGTGAGCTGGGACTGTCCGCTCAATGACATGTTTGCAAGCTCACGGTCAGATAAGGCCTTAAGGGAGGCCTTACTAACTAGCCAGAGTGGGGGAGTGATGCCTTAGCCCCTGAAGGAGGATGCTAATAGGCGCTCTCTGCTAACCGCCCAGTTGCTTGGCAGGTCCCTGCCTTTCTTTCCCTTGTTTTGGCTTTTGCAACTTAGTAGAATCTGAGAAGTGAGTGAGAAGCTCTTGCTTTACAGATAAGTTGTTGCTAATCGGCTTGTAAGTTTTATATGCCCACCTCAGTTTCTTAGTACAATCTTAGTTATATAGCATTCACGAATGCACTGATTGCAGTTTTCTTATTAAAGAAGTCATTCATCTTGTTTGATTTGAAAGAGTGAATTAAAACAAAATGTTGAGTAGCTACCTGCTTTAGATTTTAGAAACAGATGGGAAAAGAGGTGAAATAATGATGTGAAAAAAAGACTAAAAGTCAGACCCCAATAAAAAAAGATAGGTAGAAAAAAACCCTGCAAAATAAAAGACAAACCAAAAAGAAGCAATTTGAACCCCCTCCCCCCTATATACTCAGTTTGATCTTCTTCTCATTTACATTAATGGAAATCTAGTGGAACTTCATTGGATGTACATATCTATCAGTGATTTTGAGTATCTCTGTATGTAGCGCACATCCTGTGCACCAGATCTGAAGTGTGAGTATGGGTCACGGGAGAGGAGAGCCTGTCTAAAATCCTGTATACCATGAATGAGTCAGGTCCTTAGAGGCAGGAGTAGGAATGCTA